ACACTGCTGGGTTAACTCAAAGGCCCATGTTCAACAGCCAATCCAGGGGAGAATGAGAGGTCGTCTCCTCTCACAGATTTACGGCCTGGGAAACTTAAGTGTTCTGACCCAGACTGTACTAGATGGCGGTGGGGTGGGTTAGATTTTATCACTGAAAATAGATTGAGAATCATGACCAACTGGTAAAGATAGTCAAGGTTGGGCATTGTAGGCAATTCAATGCCTTAAAAAAAAAAAAAGGGGGGGGGGAGGCATGGGTATCAGCTATGAAAAGTAATTAAGGAAAAAACCCCAGCAATTAAGTAACGATATGTCTTAAAATGTTATGCTGAGTTGAAGAAGCCAGTCACAAAAGGCTACATTGCATTATTCCATTTGGTTTCAGGTAGGAAAGGTGACAAGGGGAGCTTAATGGGTACAGAGTTTCTCAGGGCTGAGGAAGATGTTCTAAAATTATACTGGGCTATATGCTCACTAAATAAACTAGAAACTACAGGTCAGGGGCGTGCTGGTGGCCTAGTGGCAAGAAGCTGTACTGCAATCCCAGAGGTACACAGTTCAAATCCACGAGATGCTCTGCCGGAGGAGGAACAATTTCCTCCTGTACCAGTCAGATCTGATTTGACGGAACATGCACAAAAAATAACAAAAAAATTTAAAACAACAACAACAAAAAAAAAAATACAGGTCATTGACTTGTACTTATTTTTAAAATGCAGACAAACACCTTATTGATGTATTCACCACAATCACTCATTGATAAGATACTAAACCAGCGCAAACACCCTTAACAGGGCATTTTTTTTTTTAGATCTAGCAAAGCTGGAAATAGTCCCTGGTAGTGCGATGAAAAAAAAGTATTCACTAGCTAACTAAAGTACTTTTGTGCAAGTCACCCACAGGCTCCGTGTGGAGAGACCTGGCAATCTGTGCCGGTGTTGAAAACCCAATGGAGTGGTCCTATGAGCAGGAGTTACTCAGCAGCACCTACTAGCTACATGCAGTCTTGGGCAGGTGTCATTCTCCTTGACTGAAGACCTGTATTCTGAACCAGGAAGCAGCCAAGCAGGGGGCCTTTGGTTGGTCAGACCAGCTGGAGCAGTCTCAATGTGTCCTCCCCCAGCTGGTTTCAACATCAGTGATGAGAACACTTATTTGACCCTGTGCTTCTCTTTTCTCCTCCTGTCCACTTTCAACACTCACTTGTTAGGCGGTGAAGAGACACTAAAAGGGGGGTATGGGGGGGAAGTATATATAAAAAAAGGTCCTTCTCCTGTTGGACCTGGCAGAAAAAAAACGAAAATTGTTAACAGGCAATACTTCAAGTTCTCAAAAAAGAGCTCTGGAGAGGCAATAGTTACAACTCAAAGACTGGCCGTGCAAACTTACCCCGCAGGCCTGTGAAAGACTTGCTGTGTGCCCTCAAGCTGATTCACAGCAAGCCCACAGGATGGAGAAACACCCCGTAGGGTTTCCAAGGCTTTCATCTTGAGGGGAGCAGGAGTTTGCTGTGGAGCTGCTGGTGGGTTTAGTCGGCTGACTGTTGGTTAGCAGTCAAGCACTTAACCAGTGCACCACCATGGCTCCTCCCCCCTCAAAAACCCTATGAGGCATTTCCACTCGGTCAACTCCAAGGCACCCAGAGTCTCTCACCACTTGACTGGCTCTGAGCAGCAGTAAGTATAAAAAGGTACCTTTATCATACTTCTTGGGGGTCTTCTTGGTGGTAACATCTAAAGCTATGTCAATTTCATCAGGATCCTGCCCTTCTTCCTTAACTGCCTATGGGGGGAGAGGAGAGACACGGTGTTATCAAATGCTGTCCAGTAAATGTGGTTCTTCACAAGGAGCAACCTCCCCGCCAACAAAGGCAAAACACAACTTGAGTTCCGCCATCTGAACCACAAGAACGGGCCCAACACGGCAGGCGAGGGTCTGGTCAAGCCCTTGGAGAGGAGCTGCGTGCTGGAGCCTGGAGGTCACTAATCAGCCTCGCCTCCCACACTGTCCTAACTGGGTGAGCCCAGAGCTGAGGAGGAAGAGGCCGAACTTGATTCACCCCCCCCAGACACCCTGAGCCTTGGGGAGGAAGCAGGACCCAGAGCCAGGGCAAGGTGGGAAGCTGGACTCAACAGGTGCCTTTTGGGGGGGCTCCTGTGGGCCTGGGGTAGGGCTGGGCGCTGCCCTCCGGGGAACTCACAAGGTCTCCGCGCTCAGGAAAGCTGGTTCCCGGGAGGAGGGAGACCACCCCTCACCCCAGCCTTGTGCACAGGGCTGCAGGGTGGGACACAGTGGGGAGCTTGGGGATGGAGCTGGATTTCTGCAGAGTCGGGGTAACCTGGTGGGGGGCTCTGGGAGGAGGCAGCCAAGCTGCTGGGTGGATGGTGGACAGGCCAGGAGATGGGCAGGCCAGGGGGTGGACAGGCCGGGTGGACGGGGCAGGATAGGGAGTTTGGGCAGGGGTGGGGGAGGG